CCTGGGTAAATGAACATTATAATGCATAACTAAACAAGGAAGACCAGCGCTTCTGTTTTCTCTGGTAGCTTTTCCCAGTTTGTGACATTCAACATTCATATCTTAGCAGGCAGCTGAAGCCCCTATTGATCTTCAGCAGCAATGTCGCTGCTATCTTGTATGTTGTGGCTACTGTGTACCTTTTTGGTCCTGTTTTATTTTACTATCAAAGTTGAAAGATGGTATATTGATACAAAATAAATTGTCCTTTTCCATTTTGTATATGTCAAGGTCAAATTATACATTTTTTATCTCATGTAATTGAAATGTTTTAATATTTTTAACTTGTTTCTTAGGTGCTTTGCTGCAATCTCAAAATGTCTAAATAATATTTCAACGACGTGAAGCATTTTGTATGTTAGCTCTAATCATTAGCCCCAACTGGTTAACAGGTCAAACCAGTCAGCTTTATTTCGACTGGACCAAACGATTTTAATTTATCCTCGTCTAATTCTTTAACCAGCCCCAATCAGCTGTGCTACACAAAGATCAAGCTCCACTGTTCCCAGACAAATAAACGTGTCATCTTTTAGTTTGCTAAGTGAACCTCACCACAGCCATGCTTTCTTTCTTGTAATTACAGAGTTTAAATTGTTGGCAGAACACAGCACCAGTTGGAGATCTCTGCAGACTCCATAGCGAGAGCACCAACCACAATTTATCTTCAGAGACTGTACCAATCTGACCCTTCCGGTGAAGGAGTCATTATCTAGCTTTAAAGCCTCAATGTGTATGATGCTGGTGTGATTACATGTTTATGTATGTGGAAAATGAGACAGTCGTACTGAAGAAAAATAGCGCAGTGTGTTCTTTGCTTTCACATCGTTCTTCTCAGGCTCCTGGGGTGAGAGTGATAGTGAAAGCTACTGTTATTTCAGTACCAGTACCAGAAATTGCTTCTTTTTAAAGCATACACAGAGGCTTTAAAGGGGACCTGCTGTACTTGTCTCTGTTTTCTGTCATACAACTACTGTTACTATGGTGGATGTTGATATTAAATACAACATTTAAAATAATGGATTCAGCATACAAGAAATCCCTGTCAGCCAAAAGTTTAAGTTTCAAACTGTTTTGCACATTTTGTTCTATTGTTGCCTCTTTATGATGTTGGTGACACTGGAAATTCCTAATATGGTCCTTTCAGACACAGAGCTCCTGCTGTAAGCAGAGAAGCTCCACCCTCCTGCTATTTCAAACCTGTTTGCAAGGGGCAGCCAATCAGATGATTGCACTTTTATCAGACTTTTATCAGGTGCTGAGTAATCTTGAACTGTGCTTCCCAATGACATTAAATTCACTGGAGAAAAAACAACAATGTTATTTCACTTCTCATAAAAGCCAGAGAAACCTAGTTATTTTTTTGTTTTAAGCACTTTGTATTTAGAACTAAAACAAAAGAAATCTAAGAAACCTGCACGCTATAGTTTCCTTCCCTGCTCCACTAACTCTTTCTGTCTCTTTCTTCACCTTCCTCGTGGAAAGTGCAACATCAGCTGTGACACATCGACCAGCCTCTCAGCAGGTCGGCGTCCGGCTTCAATACAGCTACACAGAGCACGTCAATTCTTCAAAGGGATACACTTCGGAGCTTTTGTGCCCAAAGGTCATGACTATCTCTCCGCTGTGGACCACTCAGATCACAAGACAGCCGAGCTGACGCAAACACCAACATCATTCCCTACAAACACTTCCCAAACGCCCAACTGTCTGCAAGGTTCATTTGCCTGTGCAGCTCTACAGACTCACCACACTCACTGTCTACTGTCCACGCACAGAGTTAAACTCCACTGACTTGTGTTTGTGTCATCAAGGCCTCGTGATCATGAGTGAGGAAACTCAGGCAAATGGCTGTGCGGGGGTTTTCTTCTCACTAACACACCATATTTGTCTTGAGTTAATCAATCTGTCACTTCTGCTGCTTCACTGCACATGTGACGGGTCCGGAGACGGTTTGGATTTATTGAGTGAGGGAGCTTTCACTCAGCGACGGACTCTATCTGGGCTGAATGCTTCAGTAGCTTCGTCAACACAAAAATGGGAAAATCACACTCTCCACGAGCTGAGGACGGGTAAATTTTGTTTTGGTGTGGCTATTAATGGTTTCACCTCGGGCAGATCAAAAAGCTAAAGCATGTTTGTTCTGTCAAAAAAAATGAACTAGTACAGTGAATTATTGGACTAGATTTTCACACGAAAGATGCATTTAACAACCAATATCCACTTAACCAAAAAACAAACAAAAACAGTAAAACAATATTAAGCTGTAACCTGATTCAGATAGGTGTTCTGTTCTTGATTTCTGCCACAGTCCAATATAAGGCAGCTGCTCAAAGAACCAGACAAAATGCATGCGTTCATCCAAGGAATCTGTCTCTGTAGGTTTTTTTCCCCCTGTTTTAAAATCAACATACAGGAAAACCAAGCTGAAATGATGTCAAAATGATGTAGTATATCAAACTTTGGTTAAAGAAAATGCCAGTTTGGTGTACAACAATGAAGCAGTGCAGTAATCCTACAATGCAGGACTTGGCTCTTTTCTTTGACACACACGACACTAAAACTGAATCTATTTTTGATTTTGGTCGTCAGTCCTAAAAATTCATTTAACGCTCTAATGAGACAGTGGTGAAATTTTGCAATTAGGAAAAAACATAACAGCAAATGCCTACATCAAACTGCAAGTGTTGTTAGTGCTCCGAACCAAAGGTGGTACAGTTTAATGCGTCACCATTGCACAGCTTTTTTATCAGGATAATTTTTTGTGCTGGTTGTGAACTGCAAAGCTTGTACATCCCAACACTATACACGACCGGCTCCCTGGAAGCTTTACTCAGCTTTGTCAAAGGTGACTTGTGTATTTTGTCTATCATTTGGCTCCACAAGCTTTCAAGTGAGAGCTGACAGAAACAATGCATTACCTAATGCCTCTGTCACTCAAAGTGCCTTTACAAGCATTAAAGAAATGTCACTGCAGTTTGTCCATTTTCCATCCATGCCATTTTCTATAACTGCTCGCTCCTTTTCACGGTCAGGAAAATGCATAAGTCAAAGCACATAAATTATGTTTGCATGAATAAAAAGAGCTTTTCATAAGAATGCGGAGATGAGTCATAATTTGCGGGAGCTTTTCTTTTATGACGCCATTTTTCCCCTTAAAAAAAAAAACAAATAAACAAACACATACATAATCATTTTTTCCAGATGGTGGCTCTTCCTCATTTTGAACAAACACAAAATATCTTCACAAGTTCAGATCTCAAAATCATGAAGTTCATTACCAATCTGACTTGCTGTGCCAAGCTTTTATCTTAGAACTAAAACAGCAACAGAAGCTCCATCTGCATAAACAGCTGGCAGATTTTAGGTCAGCGGGAATTTAAATGAGTCCAAAGTCTTTGTTCTTCTGTTCATTAAAAGTCTCAAATAAGGTTTACAAGACTTGAGTTTTTCAGTGAAATAAAGATTTAAAGACTACATGATCTCAGCCTGAACATAGACCTGAACGTCCGACTAAATCAAATAAAATGTTTTATGACATGCCCTGAATTCCTTGTCACTTATCTTACTCTTATACAGCATTATGATATTGAAAAGTTGTTTGGGGTGTGACTGCCTCTTCAGTTTAGGGGCAAACAAACCAGGATAACTAAAAATCCCCAGATTGTGTCAAAACACGTTACTGATTTTACACATTCGGACGACAAACTGAAGAAGAGAAAATGAATGCACCTTTCCCCCCCCCCAACACACACACACCTGAAACGTTACCAAATGAACCTTTGATCATAATAAAAAGAAATTAAAAATTCAGCTTCGATTCAGCACTGATCGTGTTGAGAAGGTGAAACCTTGATTCTTTTAAATTCATCCTTCAAAGGAAGCTTAAACGATTTAGCGCTTATGCAGATTGTTTTATTATGTAAATCATCAGTCACATTCTGCTCCATTTTAAAGATTCTGGGATGTGTGAATCATAAGCTTTGCTTTGATTGGACACTTTACACAGTGGGCTTTACCATCCACTGCAACAGCACACTGTACTGTAGATTTTTGTAGTTCACTAAACATTCAATTCTATCCACATAAAATTACTCGCTGATATATATTTCAATTAAAAAAAAACTTTTGTCATTGAAGAGGACATGCTGCTTTTCATTGCGTCGTGGGATTTAAAATGTGTCTTCTTGGCTTTTAAAAAATCCCAAGAGTTCAAAACCCACGATGACACCTTACTTTCCCAACTTTAAAATTTCATTAAATCTAAATTTAATCCTAATCTTCTCAACAGTCCTGACAGGCCTGCTGAGAGACCCCAGGTGATACATGGAGAGGAGAAATGATTGGATGGATAGCATGACAGATATAGAATATTTCATATCATTACAGCAGCCTGAAAACGGTCGGTGTGTTTTTAAAAGCTGACTGGATGTGTCCACTGTAGTAAAACTGCCACAGCGCGAATCAAACAGCCTGCTCAAGCATCCTCCACCCGTCCTCGCTGCAGGAAATTCCCACATGAAATAAATCTTTCTTAAGGATGATGACGTGGTGAAGTGGTCGCTTTGCTTCGGCGCAAACATAAATTGCGCGGCAGCTTCACCGAAGCTCGGAAACGTGACAGCGGTGTAAAGACATGTCAACTCTGACCTCCATCCGGCGCTCATCCACAGGAAAACTACTGACAACAGAAAAATGTAACCGTGCGCCCTTTGCCTTCCTGCACAAATCCAATATATAATCATTCACCTGCCACTGCTCTCGTATAAAGAGAAACGTGGCATGACTCCACACCGCACTGTACAAACAAATCAAATTGAAACAATGAGGGCAAAGCGAGTTTGTGCTGGGTTTATTCCCTACTATGCAGCCTGCACGGAACTCCCGGGAAGATATCACAGTGAAAGGAATATTTATTGTTTTGTACATCTCAACGCAGTGAAGCAAAAGTGGTCTGCACTCACCTACACGAGACCGTCAGTTCAACTTTGGTGGCAGGTATCGAAGCGGTGAAGGGGTCCGCGTCCCCAATAAACGCCATATTCATCGCTGCTTGGTCGGTCACAGTGCGTCCCCTACCCCCGGCGGCATGTGAGAAAGCGGTGTAAAAGAAATTGAAGGGGGAACCTCGCAATGGATGCTCAGTGAGCCGTTTGCTTCCTGGAAGAGCCAAACACCAGAAAGCGAGAGAGAGAAAAGCACACGGACGCAGACCTGCAGCGTGCCACAGTCGGGTCTCTGCGCGGCTCTGTGCTCCGGAGGAGAGAGGACAGTGTGAAGGGGCGGGAAGACACACATATACAAAAACACCACACACACACACACACACAGAGGCATACACACAAAGTGGGAGTCCACAGCTATTTGTGAGGACCATAGATAGAAGGATCGTTTCTATTTAGAGGTGAGTACAGGGTTATGTGTAAAGCTCTGTTTTGGTTTGAAATTGCAGTACTCGGGGAAACTATCATCGTTAAAGGTCTGGAATCAATAAAACATGTTAAATAAAATCAGTTACACCCAAGAGGACTTCAGCACAGCATAGCCTCAATGTGTGCATCTTGCTCAGAATAACAAAAAATGGGTCACAGAGAGGCAGCCATCAGATTCTATAAAAGATAACCAATCAGTGATGTCAAGTTAGTTCAGGCTGGCTGGTTATGGCAAATTTGGGTTATAGGTGGAGGCTTGTTTGTGTTTGTGTGTGGATAGCACAGGGAAAGAAATCCAGCTCCCAGAGGGCCAGACCTGTTCAGTTTTTGGTCCATGGTAAGCCTAATTTACTTTGAGGCATATAGGAGTTTAATGGAAGCTATGTTCAGCCTTGCAGAAGAGCATGGCCTTTGGGTTTGAAATACATATTGATTTATGAGAATGTGTCTGTACGAGTGGACGGTGAGCTTCACCAGTTAAACATCTCTTATCTCAGCAGTAGCCTGACAGTATTTTGTTTGGTAATGCCTATATGAGTGAGATTTAGATACTCAAGTAATCATTTGACCAATACAAAATCTTGCAAAATCCAGTTTTCCACTTTTAGGGAGTAATGAATTCTAAAAAACAAAAATGGCAAAAAAGAAAAGAAAACATTTCAATTGGCAGCATTCCCACTGAATTATTAAGGATTATTCATAAGACTACAAAAGTGACTTATCCCTATGGGTGGGAGAAAATGTCAGGGTTTGAGTTGGATTAAAAAGTAATGGAAAGAAATGTGACTTAAATACTGCAATAACTTATTCAAACTTTTAAATGCTCGCAGCAGGCATCAGCCAGACATAAAGAAACAAGTAATTATGGAATAATCAGGCCATGCCTGGGTTATTTTTCTTTTTACCTTTAAGTTGTACAACATCCTCTAATCTATGGCCACGTGGAGTGAGCTGCTACCTTCAACAACAGTCAAATTAAAGAAAAGCTTAGTAGATTGTGATTGGGCAGTGTTAAAAGGTGGCACACTGAAAGCCAGATGAAAACCACCTGAGCACAACAAACTCAATTAACCAGCCCAGCATGAACCTTGGAGCTAAAAATGGGCATATATGTCAGCTCCAATTAGTCTGAAGAAGCAGACAGAAAGTTCATGCAGCCGTTTAAACACCTTTTAATTTCCCAAATAAAGAGCCGGGAGTTTGGATTGGGTGGGAATCTCTCTAACACGGATGTTACAGCTCCCCTAAGTCGGTCTTATACAGTAAAATACTTAGATTCCTTATACTAATATTCCAAGACCCTAGTGCAGTTAGGTGTACATAAATGTGCCGCTATAGGCTAACAATGCAGGTCACTAATAATGAGGCCGAGACTCATAAGCGCTCATATTGTATATGGTCTCATTAGACATTTAGACATTTTTTTGCAAACAATAAAATATGTTGTACTGTAACAAAATCCAAAAGGGAAATAATTAACACTGCAATATTCCTTAAACTACTGTTGATGGTTGGTCTTTCATTTGTCTAAGTGTAAGAGTATTATGATAATTGTGTGTTCACAAAAATCATGATATTTGAAAATTGTCAAGTGTCAGTATTCTGTCCATGATGCATTTATGATAATATCAAAAATAAGTGTGCACAGCTTTAGTTACTGCACATTCATTTAATTTGCCTGAAGTCAAAATATTGTGATGTCCCTTTATAACGCATTTACACCAAATAGGGAACACAGCCTCATTGCTTTTAGGCTACAATGAGTGCTCACACTTACACAGCTGGTCGTCAACAATGGTGATGTCAGAGCGGCTACCTCTGTCTTGTATACATATTTATTATGTCCCTTGTAGCCCCATTTATATTCTGTTTTTTCTTCTGGGTTTTGTAATATTTAGTTTTGCGATTCCTTTGTTTGCCACAGTCAGACCACGAATCTCTGACCTGTGTTTTGTCTCCGTGCCTATCTTTGATCCCTGTGTCAAGTCGGCATGTCCTAGTCACAGTCGTATGTTGTGTTTCCTGTTTTATTGTCATAGTCCCTGGTCTAGTGTCCGTTGTGTCGAGTCTAAATTCCCTTGTCTCATTAGTCATGATGTCGCCCCTTGAGTGTACTGCTTAGTTTCCCTGTCGTTGTTCTCAAGTGTTTGTCAAGGGTTTGTCTAGTTCAGTAAGTTTTGTACTTTGCCTATTGCTAGTTTGTTCATCAGCTCAATAAAGGGCTCGCTTTTTGCTTTTGTTTGTTTGTACAAAATACACCTCGTACACCGTACACCTCGAGCAATCATTTTAAACTTAATGACAAAAGCTTTTCTCTCCTTGCAGCTTTGATTCTGTGTAGGGTTATCATCTTTATTATACGTTATCGCATTCTCCTTTAGTACTTTATTTATTGATTTATTTGGGTGGTAAACTTTGTTTATTCGTCTTTTTTTAAACTGTGCCAAGGAAAACAGTCCATAACGTGTAGGAGTCATTAAAGAACCAACAGCAACAAAATAAACAAACGCACACAGAGACAACAAACAGTATATATCATAATAAATGAGCAAATTAATCCAGACAGTCAAAAATATAATTGAAATACAATTCAATTCAATTTAACTTTATTTATTTAGCACCAAATCACAACGGTTGTCTCAAGGTGCTTTATATTGTGAGGTAAATTACCTACAACAATACAGAGAAAATCCAACATTCATACGACCCATATGAGCAAGTTTTTGGGCAACAGTGGGAAGAAAAAACTCCCTTTTAACAGCAAGAATCCTCCAGCACAACCAGGCTGGAAGACACACTGTGGAAGAGAGCCAGAGATTAATTATAACTATACAAACAACCTCTGCAGCAAACCCAAATATGTTTGAACCAAATAAGTTAGAGACAAGAAATAGTAACAGATTAAAACTGTCAAGCAGAGATTAATAGGAAGTTTGTTCCCAAACATTCCAAAATTTATCAGAAAAGTCCCAGGCAGAGAGTTATATCTTTAAGGATCATTAAGAATTTAATGTGTATTTTTAATGCAGTGCATTTGTGGTGTAGGTGCTGGAGAAAGTGAGAGCTTCATTTTTTGTGAGCAGAACATTGGGAGAGGGATAGAACCACCCCAGACATGGATCGAATGTCCGATCGAATCTTGGATTCGAAAGGAAGAGTTGGCAGTGTTTCTTGGATTTTTAACATACTTTTCAAGGAAATCTGGTGAAAAAAAGGAACCGTAAAAGTCCTGAAATTTAGTTTTGAGGACTAAACTTCTAAAATCAATACCTAATAATGAAAAAAAAACAAGCTTTCAACATCAGATAAACTTAACAGAAGTTTTCATCTAATCATTTCCGAATGTCCATGATATGAACTGATAGGTCTATGTGAGACAGAATAAACTAACGTCGCTGTAATTGCACAATGGGAATCATCCATTACCTCTCCTAGATCAGATATAACAGGCTTTATTCTGCCTTTAATGTTTTCAGTATCAGCTAAATCCCAATCTCTCTGCATGTTAGTTTTGAATGTGGCTTCCAAATTCTCTCTAATTATCTGGCCTGAGTTATCTCTAGTTGCTCTACAGCCTGCTCATCTCCATCTGCAGTCAGCACCTGACATTTGTAGAACATATGCATGACCAAAAGATGATCTTACAGCCATTGTCCATGACATTAAAAAATAACTGAGTGAGAAATTGCCTTTCTTTAATGGTGAGCTAGTCATACTTAGGCTGTTGTCCTGTGGTTACATCACAGATTCCCTTATCCAGACTATCCAGGTAAAGCATCGAGAGTGTTGGAAGCACCTTGCTTCAAACAATTAATGCACCTGCTGACTCTGCTTCCAGCCAGGAATAGAATAAACATTCAAAATCCTAATCAAGTGCGAAGTCTCAGCTTCGCACATTTAATGACTGTTTTTGCAGATTGCACTTGCTGACAGGTACACTGAGTTCTGGATGAGGTCTTGCAATGATCAGTGTATACCTTTTATTTGTAATATTTCTAAACATTTAAGCACAGCTGCTTTGGTTTTGTACAAAGTGCCAGCCTAGAGAAAGAGCCAACATTGTTAACGGATGGATGAGCCCCTCTTGAAACCAGCTCTTTGCCATATTGGGGTTTTGAAATCAAATGTTATGAGTCAGCGTTAAGTCTGACTATGAAACTGAGGACACTACAAAGTAATGGTAGTTGTAGTGACCTGTCACACACACCCTGCCCTGTCATCCATTTTCCTCTAAACTGGAGCAACATAAAAACAAACATCATGCTGTATTAAATAAGACGTGTGATAAAGACCATCAATTCATTGCAAAAGTGTTAATTGAGGTCGTAAATCAAGTGAGCAGTAGATTCAGCTCATTGCAGTTCATTTTCTCTGACTGGTCGTGACAGATTGCCACCACTTCCTGAGCCTAGTTCTACTGAATGTTTCTTCCTGTTAAAAGAGAGTTTTTCCTTCCCACTGTCACAAAGTCCTTGCTTATAGGGCGTTATCTGATTGTTGAGGTTTTCTCTCTACTTTTGTACAGTCTTTACCTTACAATATAAAGTGATTTGGCGGCATATGAATAAAACTGAATTGAATACAGTTCCTACTTCTGCTGATTGTGATCTGGAGAATCTGCATACTTGGTCAACACCTCGTGCTCCGTCAAGTTCGAACAGCTGTTCTAATGCAGTTTTCACAGTGTGGTGGAAAGCATTATCACGAGGTAGCTGCCACTGCAGTATGTTGTTGCCACTGTGGTGCACCCAGGTGTCGTTTGTGTTAAATAACACCCAGACAAGGGTCAGAGTTTTCTTGAATGTTGTACACTTCATGGGGGCTTTTAATGTTGTGGCCAATAGGCTGACAGTGCTTAGTTGTGAGCATGTGACAAAGCAGAATTTAGCTTTTGAAGAACTGCAGAGGTGCTAACTTAGCTGAAGACTCAAGTCTTGTTTTAGGCAGTTTCCAGGAGCCACGATGTAGGGTCATGCAGAATGAAGGGTCTAATCCATCATCAGCCTTTGTTCAGTTCGAGTGCAATATCAGCTTTATACAGTTGCCAAGGGTGTGATCCACGAAGTGGTGAAGTTTGTATTGAAAAAAGAGGATGGTGATTTAGAGAATGCTATTTCAAACTCCTCGCCGTACCTGCATGACAAATGAGCTTTATTAGCGGGGAACTTTTTTATTATCTCTTGAACCTCCTCTGAATTAATTTTAGATCTTATTCTCCATTTTTTTTAATAATAAGTCTTTGGAAATTAAAATTGGTTGTAAAATCTGAACTGAATTTGAAGTCTAAATGCTTCAGAGAAGCTTTCTGGAATGCAAAAGGTTGTGTTCTGAGATTCCTTGTTAACCTTAATCAAAATACTTCTACTACACAATTTTGCTTTTAATCCTTAAAGCTGCAAGTGTTTTTTTGTGATAATTTTTTTTTGCTTGAAGTTGTCAGTGGATCTGGTTCTACAGAATTGCATTATACTCGTGCCTTGTGCCACAAATAGAGCTGAAATTACCAGAGTGTGAAGAAGCCTTGGCTGCTCCCTAATTACTGTCTCCTCATTCTCCCTTTCTCTTAATTTGCCAGAGTCTTGCTGCGGTAGCTGCACGAGCCTCCTCACACCTCTGTTCAACCTGCAGAACTTTATTTTAAACTCAAGCACACAGCCCAAACTCTCAAACAGCCTAAAAATCAAACACTTATGCATAAAATGAAGTTATGAGTAGGTATCATTTTAGAATTCAGGGTTAATGGTTGAACTAAAAGGTTCTCATTTCCCCACTTTTTTGCCAGGGAAAAAAATTATTCATTATTATTTAGATAAAACACCATCCTTGAACATTTGATGTGATGTAACAGATACAAATCAGCCAATAGCATTGGTAAATGTCATCTTATGTGCTGATAAACTGATGGCTGTCCACACGGCAGATATCAAAATTACCCATCCCACTCTTTGTAATGCCACATGGCTGTTTGGATGCTTAGAAAACTCTTTCATTCTCAAACAGGATAAAGTCTTTGACACCTAACCCCAGCAACAGCCACACATACACAGCTCTGACATTCACATCAGGTGTTTGCTGATTGGTGCTGCCTGTCAAACAGTGCTGCAGATGTGTTATGATGTGTTATGTTAGGCGGTGGTTCAGATTGATGTCAGTCAAGTCACCTTTATTTAAACAGTCCAAATGTAGGGTTTTCCAGTTATGGTATACAGTGTCCTACAGCCTTATCTATGTAGTATCAGAGTGTATTTGTACTTCTATAGTGGTGGAAGCAGAAGCTATTATTTATTCATCATCATGTTACAGTTACAAGAGTAAAATGCTGTTGGGAGGTGAGTAATTCTTGTTCTTTTTATTCAGTGTTATTTCCCCGGGTATCTCAGTGCTTCCCACCGTCACAGGTGCAAACATTTGAGTGTTCATTAGACAATAGCAAAGCCTATAATTAAACATCTTCTAAACAAATTTTTTGTCATTTGCTTTAGATGATACGATTCCTACCAACCACCTATCTTACAAGAGGATACAACCAGTGTAACTGATGTAATCACACAGCTCACCATTGTAGCTGAAAGAAGCAGTCAGTGGTTGTAGTGGAAGGAGAATGTGTGGGCTTCCAAGTAACCTGTGCACCATGCGACACACTCAAGTCTGATCATTCTGCGGTGAGCTTACCTCAGCTCACAGAATCATTCTGTGATCGGCAGAGAGCGTCTTGTGACAAATGGATGAAACAACCTATGAACCCAGAATACACAATTAATGATGTGTCACACTAATGGTATCATTGCGGTCAGTATCTAGAAGTCTTCTCCAGCTCACTCAAGTACTGTGCTATACTGACGGGGATTGTCCGCACATTTTTCTCCATACTTTTCTCTTCCAAGCATTTTGGTACAAGTTAATATTTCTTTCATCTGACCAGAGACTTTTTTCTGTTTCCCCCAAAGCTGCACAGGCTCTTTTAGTTTTTTTTAAATTTAACATCAACACTTATTAAAATAATCAATTTCAATTTTGAGTCTTTAGTTAAAAAATAAGACTTACGTAATAAATCTACTGTTATCACTTTGTCTAAAATTAGACTCATCTGTACGAACTGTCTTTTTTTTTTTTTTTTTATTTATCATCAACAATGAGCAAAAACTAATTAGCAGCACTTACTTGTTACTACAGGCTCAGGTTTTTCCTCTGAATCTTTATTCAACAACACAAGCGTAAACACACCAAACAGCTGTTTGCTGTAAAACATTTGCAGGTAGAAACTGAAATCTGCCCGAGGAAGGAGCAGCTTACTTGCTACACAAAGATAATCTAATTAATAATGCTCCAAGTGATAATCAAGTAATTACTGTTGTAGTAGTAATAATAAAAATGCATATGCAGGAGAAAATTGTTAATTATTAGTACATAATCCTTTATTAGTACATAGTGCACTGAAAATGTAGGACTCAGCTCAGAGGAAACAGTATATTAAAAAATGTATTGTAAAGAAGTCTCCTATAAAAACACCGTCAGTTTTACAGAGGCTGGTTTTAAACAAAATTTTCCATCTATTTGCTTAGATTTATGGTCGTCTGATCTGCTGTCTGACGTCCGCTGCCCCCTCGGTTGTTTTTCTCATGATCTCAGCAGTGAAACTGGATTAAATAAAAACTCTAAAATATGAAGGATTTATAATGCTGAAATACAGTAAAACAAGATGAAGGTGTACTGAAACTAAAGAGGACAATTACATCTTACAGGGTGTAAAGGATCAGTTTTAACTGAAACCATACAGGGATTTCCGGAGACCTGGTTTGAACTGGCATCTTCAAGTAGGACAATGTGGAATATTAGACAACTGCCTTGGAGTTTTGTAGACTGCGTCTGTGGAGGCAGAGGATCATTGTAGTCCTTACATTCACTGTCACTGTTCAGTTTTGCATGTGTTACCCACTACTGCCATCTTGTGCCCAGTTTTCACCAGTTTAATTTCTGAAAGCAGTCAGACGGCCATCCGCTCTGTAGAGTGTAGCTTTACAGTGTGCAGAAAGGAAAAAAAAACATCTATAGAAAGTTTGGAAAGATCATCTTAGGAGGAACCTTAAATCTCTCTAACTTGAAGATTTGGGGAAAGATTAATATTTCTAAGAGCTCCAAAATAGCAATAAATGCACAAAAAAAGAAAATGATAGTATTGCACATAATATTGTTAAAGTTGGCTTGAAAGTCCACAACACGGGGTTAGTTTCTGTTAAAACCACTTAACAACTAAGTAAAAGTGTAAATAAGAGTGTTATATGAAGGAAAAGGAGAGAAGGAGGTCCAGTCTGAGGGAGTTGAGGAAGAAATGACTATAAATAGTAAATAAAGGGACCCTTAAGGTGAAGTGCTGACAAATCAATAAAATGAAGAACTCTGTTTCCTCCTGGAGGAGTCTCCAGGTAAGGAGGGTTGTTAGGCTACCGTGGGCACACCAGTGTACACCTCTGCAGAGATCTCAGATAGTCTTCCACCTCAGATCAATTCCTTCTGGTTTGCTACGTCATTTGTTACTCAGAGGATGAGAGGATAGCAACAATGGCATCCTAACCTTTATTCTTCTCCCCAGTTTATCACTGGCTATGAACTATTGCCCTCTTGTAGCCATATGTCATATTGTACCCTGGTTCCCACAGGCCAGCTGATAGCCTGAACACAGCAATGAAGCAGGTTAGAATTCCACTTTTTAAGAAGATGAAAAATTAAGGATGTCCAGGAGAAAAATAAAAAAATAAATATTGAGTTATCAAACTTATTTGTAAAAACCAAAGACACATTTAGAGGTAGTTTGTTTGCTTGAATAAATCAGCCTACAGATATATTAATAGTAAAAAAATAATATATAGTATATAAGTATACAGAACCAAGAAAATCACACACAGATGGTTGTTTTTGACAGATGGCATTTATTCTGACCAGGCATCTGACATTAGAATCGCTACAGAGTCCGCCATTGGGGAATGGCTCCTAAAACAGGAGGGGGTGCGCCATGGGTACAGGGAAGAAGAAGGGCATAACAAACAAAACAAAGAAAAGAAACTAACCAAAGGCCACTAAACGTGACCTGCCACCTGTATGAAGGATAAGCTCAGTCCAAAGCATTACTGATGTACTCGTCAGTCTTTGTGCCATTCACGGTCCTCTGGGCTCTAGTGTGAGACTACGTTCCGATCGGTGGTCCCACAAAACTAACATTCAGTCAGATTAGTTTTTTGTTTTGAACAGACATTGTTTACATACATTTCATATGTAGTTGAATAATTCCTACAGCTGCTGTTTCACCAAACATTCATAAATGACAGCACACAATCATGACAGGCAGGTCAGTTAAACTGCAGAGACCACGAGTGCCTCCAGGAAGGCCCCACGAAGATCAGAACAGAGACAGATGTTGAGTCAATAGTCAGGAAAATAACACTGGTTGCGTCAGAAGGCCTCTCCTCTCAACAACAAAGAGATACCGTTACACTTATATACACACATACACAACTACGGTACTGAGTGGACCTCACCTGGAGCCCACGACAAGAAGCCCTCTTATAGGGTTGGGAAGGTGAACGTGTCTTAGCAGCATGGGAATTAGACCACAACTTAGCAGTGTAGGTTTAGTGAGTGTTACCAGCATGTGTGAAGAGTGAAGATATATTTGTACACACAATGAAACATGGACAACAAGTGCAGACTTTCATCGGTGCTCAACCTGCTCACATTTAAGAAGGATTAAGTGAATCTCATAGACTAATTGTGTTGATTTTTGTTTGTTTGTTTTTTTTGCATGTGCTCAGCGGTTAAAGGTATTTGAGATCCTATGATAAAGTTCCACCAATTAAAAAACAAAAACTGCACCGGACAAATTCTTCATCAATTAATTTTCACACATTTATGCCTTTGGAAAATTTAGATTCCCAATTTCATTCATCGTGCATGTCTTTAAGCTGTGGGAGGGTGCAGAAACCCAGAAACAATCCACACAGGAACAGGGACACAGAGGCCTCAGTCAGCTTCCAGATTCCTGTGAGGGGCCTGTGTTAACCACTGTACTACTTACCAGATAAATTCAAGATTTTTACTGTATTTGCTCAATTGTCCCTCATAGGTCTTCAAATGGCTGTCATTATTATAAAACCTTTCCTGACCACTTGCACACCTGCCTCCACTATGTCAAAATCTTAGCATTATAAGTTTAAAACCTTGTGAGTATGGGAGTTGTTGAGTTGGTGAGCAAAGATTCTTTAAGTTTGGTTTGTTTCTACTCAGTCTTGTTCCTCAGACCCTTCAGGATGTACAGCCTGATCCCCAGAAGATGAATTCTTGGAGCGCACAGCCCAGTGAATGCAGAATAAAGTTACCCTACAGACTTCCAGTAGATGCACCTATTGTATAAATTTCAAAATCCTTGTCAACTAGATTTCAACTCGATTTCAACTAGATTTTCAGTAGCTACACGTATGGTATCAATTTGAAATCCTATGTTATCTTGTTCTGAAGTTATAATGGCTGTCCATGGTGCCCCTCTGGCAGGGTGACAACAGTACCCCATCCGCCTTTTATGACTGAAGGGTAATGATGATCATGCTTCTTGACTTGACACTGAAGACTCCTTCACTAAACTGCCGTTCAAGCTCTGGGTTGTACCTGAAAACCCAGGACCCTTCTGCTGCCTCTCAGCAGAAGGGTCCTGGGTTTGAATCCAGGTACTCTGGATTCCTCCCACAGTCAAAAGACATGCAGTGTATAAAGCAAGTGAGCTTATTTCCCTAAACGTCAAACTTTAGCTACTCTAAAGTGTGTTCTGTTTACAAGTCCAGCTGAGGACAGCAATAACAACACGTTACACATTTTTGGTCACTGATCTAAAGCTGCTGCAGAAACTGAAGGGAGCACAGAAGCAAGAGCAGGATGTTAAGGGGTAGAATGATTTCTTTCTCACACAGCCACTTTTCTTGCTCTTGGAAACAGGACTGATGGAATAACACTTCTGTTTCAAGTGCAGAGAAACAATCTCAACAAAGTAGAGAAGTGGGTTGTGAAGACCAGCTACCAACCCATTAGCTCTGCTGCACGTATGTATTTCTGTACTCTTACAACAAAACACCACATCCTTTTTTGGCAGGGTTGCCTGTGTTGTATCGTTGCACTGTGCTGCATGTAAGCCGAGCTGCACTGATAGTGTCTACTGTGTGTTCACCACATCCTATAGTATCTTGTGAATATAAGTTCTTATAACGATGACAATAATGACAAACCGTCTAAAGCGCAAGAAGAGAGAAATAGAAGTCATTAACAATACAGTTAACTAAATCCTCTAAGCATACAGAGTCAAAGAAAAGAACTAATGCGTTAGCTTCCACTGTGATGAGATTACCGTTTCCTGTTGGCTCAGTCATGAACGTCACATGATATGGAAGGTGTGTCGTTTAGGCTTGATAGTTAAGGGGTCAAAGTGCAGGGCAGGAGTGCCTTTACGTCCTTCTAGAGTCAAACCAGGCAAGTGGTACCATGTTCAGTTACTTGCAACCTCGTCTACACTGTCAACCACTTCCAAGGTGCCATCCAGTCCACCACGTGCACGCCAGATCTTCACAGTCCGATCACTGCAAGACACAAAGACACAAAAGTCATAATCTGTTCCATATCCTCTTAATGTCTTTACATTTTCACTGATTTGAAGACTTTTTACTTGGAATTTACGTATAAAATTACCAATGTGTATATGTAATTTGCTGATCACATACATAAATACGTGTAGAGTGGTGCCAAATTAAAGGGGAAAGCCAATATGAGGTGTTTCAGTGAACTCCTGATCCATTATGAGCCACTAGAAAGGCTCACTGAAACTACTGGTTGGATGGAAATCTGTCATCTAGGAAAAGAACACTCCGATCAGAAAGAAATGTTTCATCAGAGGACAAAAGAGATCACCCAGAAGAGAAAATGTGTGTGAAATTGCAGCAACCCTTTCCTAAAGCCAGCTCTCTCACAGTATGGAACATGAGCTGGAGGTGTTTTTAACATTTGTGTGTTACCTAGGGC